TCAAAGCAAACTTGCGAATCGTTTCCGTGAGAGTAGTCCTCATGTTTCATGGCCAGGGGGCCAGAAGTTCACCACCCACCAAACCACGCCAACCCAACCCGAAGGCTCAGATTTACCCTCGACTTCTAGGGGGGGGGGTCCAGGAACATCGAACAAACACACATGGAGCCCATACCCCCCCCAACCCGAAAGTCGGGCCTTCGGGTTGGGTTGGGGTGGTCTGGTAGGTAGTCCTCGATACATAGCCGCCTCCGGCGCCGGGAGGCGCCGGGAAAATCAGCCGCGTGAGCTGATTCTCAAACCCCCCCTTTGGTATCCACCCTTTTCGCCCGACCCGAGCCAGGGGGCCAGACGTGCGCAAGAGCTACACGGATGGAGGAAAAGAAACACACAGACACAATTAATCTTCGATTTCCCAGAAAATATGGGAAAATATGGGAAGTGGGGGGGAAGACAAAAACCCAGAAAATATGGGAACATATGGGGAATATTTTTATTTGTGTGTATTTATTTGTGTGTCCTGGGGCCCCTTCAGACACGGATGGAGGGTGGATCCTTCTCCTCAAATCGAAGCCCTCGTCGGGGACCTCCCGGCGTCCCCGCGGCCGCGGGTCGCACGGAGGGAGGGCCTGCGGGGAGGGGAGGGGGGGGCCCCTCCCCCTCCTCCTCCCCCTCCTCCTCCTCCTCCTCCTCCTCCTCCTCCTCCTCCTCCTCCTCCCCCTCCTCCTCCTCTCCTCCTCCCCCTCCCCTCCTCCTCCTCCTCCCCCTCCCCCTCCTCCTCCTCCTCCCCTCCTCCTCCTCCTCCTCCTCCTCCTCCTCCTCCTCCTCCTCGGGCGCACGGCAAAGGGGGTGGGTGGTCGCCAAAGGGGGGGAGGGATGGGGAGGGCCCGCTGGTCCCGACCCCCACCCCCTTCCACAGACCCCCCCCCCTGGGGGCTCACAGGAGCGCCCACAGCAGTGCCCCGAACTTCGAGGACTGCCAGCTTTCGCAGGCCTAGAGGTTGACACCACCACCAAGATCGGCGGTGTGCCTCCACCGAGGGAAGAAGATCCCGATCTCGGTGATGGTGGTAATATTCTGGCTTCCAAGGTGACCGAAATATGACCACCCACGCCGACGTCTAGGACCATCTCTCCCATGTGAAGGCAGCCCCCTGTGCTGGTGTGGGTGCTAATTCCCAGGCCTCCAAAGCTTCGAGCTCCGGGCCCCTCGTCCTCGACGGGCCCAGGAAGGTGCTGGCCTCCCCGAGTCCGGCGGCCCTCGGCTCTCTCGGCCTTCGCCTCCTCGCCGCGGGGTGGAGCGTCGCCGACGCGAGGGGCTTCCCCCTGGACGGGAAGGAACACGGCTCCCCCAGTGCAGCGAGCGGAGAACGGTATAAAATAGTTGTTTTCGCTGTCGGGGGCGCCTGACCCTGGGCGGCTGGAAAGTTTATACGGCAAGTTTGCGCGGCGTCGGCGCGCGCAGAGGTTTTTGACACCGCGTCGATCGTTCCACCTTGAATCGATCGCGGCCCCGATCGTTCAAGGTTGAATTACGTCGGGTCCAGTGGCGTTACAATGTCCATCGGTGCTTCCGCGTGGCAGAATTCAACCATGAACGCCTTCGCCGGCGTCGTCGGCGCGTCAACGCCGCATGAACCTACCGTACCCCTACGGCGCCACCGTAAGGGTATAAACTTCCAGCCGCCCAGGGACAGGCGCCCCCGACAGCGGAAAAGTTTATGTCATACCGTTCTTCGCCCGTCAACCAGTGGCCGTGGGTGGTCGGGAGGGGGCAGCGCGAGAGGGGGGCGCCGGGCGAGGGTCGCCGCTCTCGCATGCTTCTGGGAGTGCGCTCTGCACGAGCGGAATGGGCACGGGAAGAACGGGTACGGTAGGTTCATGCGGCGTTGACGCGCCGACGACGCCGGCGAAGGCGTTCATGGTTGAATTCTGCCACGCGGAAGCACCGATGGACATTGTAACGCCACTGGACCCGGCGGAATTCAACCTTGAACGATCGGGGCCGCGATCGATTCAAGGTGGAACGATCGACGCGGTGTCAAAAACCTCTGCGCGCGCCGACGCCGCGCAAACCTGCCGTACAAAGCCCAACAGCGGATCTGGTTCCTTTTGAACAGGACTCGGTGTCCACGCCGCCGCGGCCTGTGTCCATTCGAGACAGGAGGTCGCCTGCCCCACAGCGGCCGCGGTTGGTTTGGGAGCCTTTGTTGTTGGGCATTGTACCCATTTTTGTCCGTACCCATTTCGGGCGTCCAAATGCGCGCTCGGGGGGAGGGTTTTGAGCGTCGCGGTCGTCGCATGCTTCCGGGCTCGATGTCTGTTCATGGGAGCCTTGGGCGGCGACACTGAAATCAGCTTCTCCTGCATTCGGACCGCGTAGGGGCCACAGTTGGCCCATCCTCAGGGGCCTCCTGGTCCTCCTCTCCCCTCCTGTTCCCCCTCCTCCTCGTTCTTCTAGTCCCCGCGAATCCAGTCTAAATCTGGTCCAAATGTGTTC